CGGCCCAGCCCTCCTCTGGATCCATAGTTAGTATAGGCCTTATGAATTTTTCGATTTTAGATATTCGGGTCGTTGTTATTTTAAAATAAGCTTGGGTATAATTAGAAAAATAATTCAGATGAACATATTCAAATCACTACTCTAAATTTAGCTTATAAATTCTAACCCCAAAGGTTATTCGTCTAATTAAAAATGAAACCTAAAAATTCGAAAAGTTTAAAATTTAGAAGACTAAAACATATATGAGGTTTGTTACCTTGGAAAATTTACTAGAGCAGCTGGTGGATATAGGGATGGAAACACAATTCAAATTGATTGGTAGGTTGATTTGTCTAGTGTTGATGCTGCTCGTTTCAACAGCTAATACGAATAGAACCTTTTCAACAACGAAACATGTGAAAATTGATTTGCGCAAGAAAATGAGCGATGGATTTCTAGTCGATTGCCCAAGTATTTTATTTGAAACAGTTTATACTAGTGGTATGGATGTGGACTCCATTATTAATGCATTCGCTAAATTAAAATACCGTCGTGTACAATTTACATTGTAAAAAAATTATAATCATTATATTTTTTACTATTCTAATTTCTAATAAAATGCGGCCAAGTGCACTTCTGTGTTCTGGATCCGCCGCTGGCGGCGCTCAGGTTGAGGTGGGCAGATGCCGGATAAAAGAATCCCACAGCTATAGCACCGTCCGTGTTGAGGTCGGCGGCGGCTGCGCAGGGTACGTAAGGAATTTTTTGTTTAGTGTTTTGGTTTGAAATTGGAATTAGAGGGTAAGATCGTCAATTTGGTGCATTTCGGGGCGATAAAATTTGAATTTTAGAGCGACGAATAGCGATTCATAATTTATGTGCCGCTATGTTTAGCCTCTAAAAGTAATTTTTCTTGTAGTGAAATATGAATAATTTTGTCGGACACTGGGAGACAAAGCAAGACGAGATTAGGTTTTATAGAAAAATGACAGAAAAATCTCTGTCGAAAAGAGAAAACATTGCCTGAGACGTGGAGGGAGAGAGTTGTGCACGAAGCAATCGATTAGAACTCTGCACCTCGTCCTGCAAATCGGAGTTGTCTAGCAGTGGCGGTGGTCGCGGGGCTTTGGGCCAGAGCTCTTGCATCTGCTTCTTGTCTTAGGCTTCTTCGTTGTCCTTTTTGTTGTCGTCGCAAGGATTTGGTGGTTGATGGTTGTGGATTTGGAAGGGCATGTCGGATTGGGGAAGAAGAGTTCGACAGTTGGAGAAGAAGATTGTTGCGCAGGGAAAGAAAAATTCGCTGGCATGTGAAGGGAAAGTCGGGAGAGGCGAAAAGTTGCTCGAAGGGAAAGGGAAAACTCACGTATACCGATTCCCCGCCTGTTATTTTACCAGATGGGAGTCGGTATACCGAGGGTGGATTATTACTACGGTATACCGGTACTGTCGGCAGGGGCGGATCCAGGATTTCGAGACCGTTGGACCGAAAAATAATTTTAAAAATATATAACCTTTATAATTATTTTAGAAGTACACGACATTCTTTGAGATCATTGAACGTAATAAAACGAGGTGGCTTTTCCTTATACTATTTTGACAATAATGGGGATATGAGAAGAGGTTTCGGTTTGGTTTAGGGAATGGCAACGGAATTGGACTTGGAATTAAATAGGTGGCTTTTTGTTTGTACTTTCTCACAAAATGTGGGGGCATGGGAGATTTATAATTGGTTTGGGGAATCGTAGATGGTGATTAAATGTGAGATTTTCATTTGGTTTGGGGAATGCACACTACAAAAAAGAGGAGGTTTGGGGACGACAAAAGTCGTCTCCGGAAATAGGCAAAATCGTCCCTACAATTTTAGGGACGACTTAGTCGTCCCTAATGTGTGGCTCCCTATACTCTTGTCCTCTATTTTTTTGGGGACGACAAAAGTCTAGGTCGTCCCTATTACTAGGGACGACAGTCGTCCCCGAGACTCGCAAGTCGTCATCTCATATTTTTTTATGAGAGACAACATGTCGTCCCTATATCTATAGCTGTAACGACAATAAATTGAAGTCTAAAAAGCGTCTCCTTGGCAATTAGAAGGCTTCTATCAAATGGTGATTGGGGACAATATGATGTCATATTTTCTCTTTATAGGATCAATAGGCCATCTCCATTAATCTGATCTAAAATTGCATATATTATTAATATAATAATAATGATGGTTGTTCATACGACAAAAAATTCTATTTTTTTACCATTAATTTACAAACAGATGCCATTGGTTGTACACAAAAACCATCAAAATAGAAGGAAAAGGTTTACACAAAAATCACAATTGATGCCACTTATTGTACTATCATTCTCAATCGTTTCCGTCACCGTAACGCCGCAACCATGTCTAGCCACCACAGCGTAACATCATCCGAGCAGGGTCCGCAATCTCCTCACTTATGACTTCATCGTCGTCGATTCTGAAAGAGAAATCAAAAGATCAATACCTCCGCTATGTCGACACTGGCTTCATCATCGCCGTCGACCCTGGGGAAAAAAACAAAAGATCAATAGAGATGAAAATATATAGATCTAAAGCTAACATTGAACCAAAGACCTAAAACCAAGAACAAAAGGAACTAGATGAGTCCTACCATCGATTGGAACCTAATGGCGATGAGAGGGAAGCGCTGGCGAACAAAGTGAAAGATTAGCCTGTGCCCAACGAAAAAGAGAAGAAGCCGGAGAGTCGAAGGAAGGGAATAGACCATGCGGCCAAAAGAGGGTGAAGACGGGAATGTGGCTAGGGTTTCTATCGTTACTTAAAGCTAAATGGACATTTGAGATTGAAACTTATTGAAATGAACGGCTGAGATTAAGTTGAAAGTTCCAGAGAGGCAAGTAGTTTAATATTTAAGAGCAAGTATTTTAATACAATTGAGAATTTAAGATCAAGTATTTTAATATCTAAGAGCAAGTATTTTAATGCAACTGAGAATTTAACAGCAAGTATTTTTAATGTTTACTAAAATACCGTTTGGTAATAAATGAATTCCATAAGTTTTGAGAAATTCATTTTAAAATGAAACTTTTTTGTGTTTGGTATTTAAAACAGTCCATTTTCGATTCTAAATTTTGAATTCTATGGAATTGGAACTAGTTATAGCAATTCCGAAGAATTGAGATGAAATTTCCAAATGAACTCCACAAGTATTTACGAATTATAATTAGCGGGCTTGTCAAAGATAGAAAAAAGTTTACTAACATTGTGAATTAAGTCCCTTCTAATATAAAAGAATGACTTATTATTTCATTTTTTAAGTAAAAATATTTTCTTCTATTATCATGATAGTATTGTGGACAATATATAATAACTATTTTTTTTGGAGACGACATATCATTTCTATATGTGTCCAATTGGAGGCAATAGATGTCTCCAAAAATTTTATTTAAGGACAAGAAGTTGTTCCTTGTGCATTATTTCTTGCTAGGACAAATTCTCACTTGTGTGACTTTTATGTACCAAGTGTTCCTTAAGTTGTGGCTTGATGAAGGATAGATTATCACATATCTAATATTTATGGAGGCCTAGTGGTCCTTTAACCTATGTTATTAGAGATGAGAAATTGTCTCCTATGTAATTTGAAGGGACAATAAGTTGTCTTTTCCCATGTGTCTTCAAAGATAATTCATTGTCTCCTATATAATTTGTAGAAACCGCTTTCATTGGTTAATAAAATTTATGCAGGTTTCGATAAAACAATTTCAAAGATCAATCTAATTCTATATATGGAAAAGATTCAGTGTGCAAGACAAGAAAAACTAAGACCGATATTCTACGAAAAATTCACAAAGGTAATTTAAATCAATCTCGCTACAAGTTTGAATGATGATAAACAACATAACTACCTTCCACACTCAACGAGACAAGCTTTTCACCCCTCTACTGGCACCGCCTCTGTCGCGCAAATGCAGAAGATCATGATTCATGAACTTGATTTTCGCTATGCACCTACAACTTTTCAGAGATGGAAATCAAATTTACAAACGTTAACCGGATATTACCCCTACGTTTAAAGAAGCAAATAATACGAAATAGTATTCAGTAAAAAGAAACCCACTTATTTATAATTTATAATGTAGTTATCATCATAAGCTCTTTTTTTTTTTTGTGTAAACTCTCCAACAAAATTCATAATTCAGACTTTAAAAAACCCTTTCACAAGTTCCAACTTAAGAGGAAAACAATAAAAATAAATAAAAAGGGTAACCAGTACAACTCCAAAACGGAAAAGAAAACGTTCATGAGGAAAAAATGGTGTGTTCATTTTGATAATATATTTTGGAGACCAAAAAATCAACCCAGGCTGCGAGCAAATAAAACCCCTGCCCCAAAAATTAGCGAGATTTGTTTTGGGGACAGCGGAATAAAATTAAAAAATAATAAATATCACATCCCTTATTTTATAGGGACAATTTATACGTTTGTCCCTAATACTACTTAGAATTGTATTTGCGGAGACAATATAAGGGAATTGTCCCCTAATACTGGTCCCCAAATCTCCTTCTTTTTGTAGTGGCAAAATGTATATAGCAAATGGGAATCGAACCTATGTGGTTTAGCAGACAAGTCAAGTGTGACTATCATTAGACAACATGGCTATTACTTGACAAAATTAACAGAACCGACTCTACTTATAAAATTTATACTAACGGTTAACGTTAGCTCCACCCCGAGTTGAACATAGCTCCGCCGCTGACTGCCGGTTAACGATTAACGGTGATTACCGGTTCGGTAACCAATTATATCATTAACCGGCAAACCGATCGATTACCACCCCTAATTGTACGTACATGGTTTATCGATATGTGGTAAATAATATTCAGCGTGGAATTTATGGCTTCTACGACAAAGCACTTAAAACAGCAAAAATATTTACGTACCTAAATCGAAGGGGGATCACGACTTTTTGACTGCCGTAATTAAATCTCTCTCCCCTCGTACGTCTATAAATATGTATAGCTTGTCTTCTTCCATTAAACTCGTGACCAAAACCATCATATCCTATCATATTTCTCATCTGTTGTGTCTCTATTTTATTCCCCTGATCCCATCCCTCATTTCCCAAATTAAATTACTTCCTCGTTTTTAATTTGTGATACCCTTTTTTTTCTTGATCATCAAAAGAATTCCCATTCAAGGGTTGCCCTTCTTGCTGCAAGCTTATGATCATAGCATGAACCATAAAAGAAATTAAGAAGGTTTCGAATTCGAAGAATTCTTCGACGCCAGCCAACTCGCTTGACGTGTTAGCGAGTCAAGCAGGCGTAGGGTTCTGCTATTTGCATCCACAAATTCATCAACTACTGAATAGTGCTATTAATCGTTGAATTAAGTAAGTTTTTTTTTTTTGTTCATATTTAAGCATTCATAAAACTTCATTTCTTGATGATTACACACATCCAAAATTCTCACGAAAATTATAATAATTATGATATTCATTAAAATACATTAATACTGGCGAACACAGGCAAAGATGGACAAAACATTGAGGGGAGCGCAGTACACGATGAGCGACGGGCACACGCTGGCGACGGAGGTAGTCAACGACGAGGAATCCCACCTCTGCCTCTACATCCTCCTCCAGGACATGTTCAAAGTCGGGGACATGGTCGTCGGCATCGACATCGAGTGGGGCTTCAAATCCACCTCCTCCTCCTCTTCCGCTGCGGTCAGCAGGTCCGCCAGCCTCTCCGGTCGCACCATTCCACTCGACTCCCAAACCCACCACCAACAACAGCAGCAACAACCACCACCTTCCGCTTCGCAGCCAGCGGAGCGGAAGGCCGTGGAGCAGCACGCAGCCCTGGTGACGCTCTGCACCAAGCTGGGCTGCGTGCTGATACGGATGAACCCAAAGCAGCTGCCCTCGCTGTCGCCGTCCCTGCGCAAGTTTCTCGCCATCAAGGAGATCCTCTTCGTCGGGGTCCACATCAGGGAGGACCTGCACCGGATGAAGAAGTTGTACGGCGTGATCGTGAGGAACGCGGTGGAGCTGAGCGACCTGGCGGCGAAGATGAACGACCACCCGAGGTTTCTAGGGATGAGCGCCAGGGAGCTGTGCTCGAAGGTTTGTTCGATCAAGTTGGAGCAGAAGCCGTTCGTGGTGCTGTGGTCCAACTGGTTCGACCCCACGCTGAGCAACGAGCAGCTCGAGTCGGCGACCACCGATGCGTACGCGGCGTATAAGACTGGGCGGAAGATGTTGGAAGGCGGCAATAGCAGCGTCAAGAGGTTGTTTTATTGATTGATAGCTACATTTTTCATCTACGGGGGAAAAGGACCGTCAAAAGTAGGGAAACGGTACGGTTGTCAAAATAGTTTTTGGCGACCATTTGGTTGGTTTTTGTCGAGTTATGTTCTAGTTTAATTCAAATTATTATTAGAATAGCTGATTTGGGGAGTTGGGTGACTTTGGATATAGATTCAGTTTAGTTTAAATGTTTGTATATAGGGTTTTTTTTTGTGTTTGTTTTATTATCGTTTGTTACTACTTTGTAAAAACATATCGGAGTTTATACTGGAAAAATTAATTGTAGAGTATTTTGTACTGAAAACGTGATGTAACCATGGTTCACCCATTTTATGCCGCTAAAAATTACCTGACAATTTTGGACTTCGATAGGAGATTTTCCCAATCGAACCGTCGGTACGATACGGTTTCACGAACACTTAGGGGTCGTTTGGATTAAGTATTTGGGGGTGTTATTTGAGGTCAAATAGCACAAAATCTGTTATTTAACCCCAAATAACATGTTTGGCTGACAAAAAGTGGGATGTGTTATTTGGATGTAGTGTTTTGCCAAATAACAGGTTTGAGACCAAATAACACAAAAAGTGTTGTTTGCCAAATACTTGGGAGGGGGCAGGTATTTCCCAAATAACAAGTTTGAGACCAAATATCACATACCAAATAACAAGTTTTATATTATGTGGTATTTGTGTGGTAATTGGCCCCAAACAACAAGTTTATCAAATACTCAATCCAAACGACCCCTTATATTTATGCAAGTAGTTCTGTAAATTCCATATTATTCTTGCAGGTTAGGGTTGTTTGGCAACTACGATTGTTTGGCAACTATGTAATGTCGAATTTTAATATTAGGGTGTGTTTGGATAGGTGTATTTCACATGTAAGGTATTTGAAATATATGTTTGTAAAATTTATGCATTTTAAATACTAGTATTTGAAATACATGTAATTCAAATTTGTTGTTTGGATACTCATATGTAATTTGTTTGTATTAGGGATGGGAAACAGTGCAGTCTGATCCAAACCAGACCATACATACGGTCTATGGTCTAGACCGAGAAGCTGAAGCATGGACCATGGACCATACCAAATACTATACGGTCCAGAGCAGATCACACCTGCGCGGTCCGGTACGGTCTGGACCATGTAAACCAAATTTAGCAAAAATTGAACATTTTTTTTAGTCAACCACACAAAAAATCGAACCAATAACCGAGAAAAATAATGTGTTTCCCCCTAAAACATAAATTAAAACACGCATGCATAATTCGGATACGATAAATCCAAGTAAATAACAAAGATACAAAGTTAGATCAACCCAACTTGCACCATAACTTCATAAATGTTAACATTATATCATACGGAGACACAATTGTCTCTACTCTATGCATGAGTGGGGTTTATTAATGAAGGACGAGATGATATTCGCAAAACTAAAGTTGAGACTTGGGCCTCATTGAAGAGATGAGAGAGTGGTCGAGTGAGCTTCTAACATGAATTGCGAAGTGGGTTGAGTCCACGGTCTGGTCCGTTAAACCACGGTCTAGCTAGACCAGACCAAGAAATCAATACATCCTACAATATAGACCATGCACCAGACCAGACCATTCTTAACGGTCTACGATCTGGACCAAACTGTGCGGTCCGATTTGGTTTGCCGTTTTCAAATAATCTGGTATATTTTCCCAGCCCTAGTTTGTATTTTAAATTTAATAATTATTATTTTAATTTTGAATTTTCTGGTCACTTACTACAATTTTTGATAATTCACAGTTTTTACCCAAATTTATTTTTTCTTATAATTTAGTACCTAAACTTTTAACATTTTACAATAAAGTCCAGAAATTTTATGGTAAAATTATGTTTTGCTACCTTTATATGTTTTGTCTCACACTATAGTACCTAAACTTTTAATATTTTACAAATAGGTCCAATCTTTTGTTAGGAGGTATTTCACTAGTTGTTAAATGTATTTGAAGTTCACAAGTAATACACTATATATGTATTTGAATTAATTTGGCAAAAATCCAAATACCGAATATAATTAATATCCAAACACATAATTTGACATTTAGAAATCTAAATCATAAATACCAAATCCAAATCATTATATCAAACACACCCTTTAGAGTGCATTGTTTAGGCTGCATGAATTAATAGTGGACATTGATTGGTATGAAATCTTAAACACTTTGGGTAAACTCAATCGTACGTATTGGAATTATCATGATGAGCGGTGACAAGAATTCTCAAATTATATGGTTTCAAAAAATGGAACATGAAATATAATAATGTAAGATATAACATATTCAGATAATCAGAAAGTAATCAAAGTATTGTCAGTTATGTAATATTCTCATTAACAAGCTCGAAGAAGTTATTGAAATCTTTGTCAGACATTGTAGAGCGTTTTTTTCCCCCCTGTCTCCCTTCTTCTACAAAATCGGTTCTATATCATTGGTTTATCAAATTATCTATCGGATTCTTAATTAACTCTTTAAAAGAACAAGTTTATAAAACACTATTTCATAGTCACATCATAAGGATGCTCTTTTTGTAATTAATCAAAGTTTGGAGGAGTTTTTATGTCATTATGATTAAGATTCTAATTAATTAACTTATGACAATTGAACCCAAATTCAACCCAAATCAATAGATATTCCACCTAATTCGACCCCATTGAATTAACTCTTTGAAAGAACAAGTTTCTAAAGCACTATTTCATAGAGTCACATCACAAGGATGCTCTTTTTGTAATTAACCAAAGTTTGGAGGAGTTTTTGTGCCATTATGATTAAGATTCTAATTAATTAACGTATGACAATTAAACCCAAATTCAACCTAAATCAACAGGTATTCCACCTAATTCGACCCCATTAAAACGAGTTGAACCCGTTGTTCACGAATTATTTTGTCGACAACGAGTTTTTGTGCCATTAAGGTTCTACATATGACAATTCAACCCAAATCAATGGGTATTCAACCTAATTCGACACAGTTAAAGCAAGTTGAATCTAATTCGAGCCAGTTAGAGCGAATTGATCTCGATGTTAACGAATTTTTGTTCGAGGACGAGTTCTACATGCTTTACCTAATTAATTTAATAATTACAATGGTACCCAAATTCAACCCAAATCAATGGGTATTCGACCTTATTCGACCTGGTTAAAGCAAGTTGAACCCATTGTTAACGAATTTGAGGTCCTACAACAAGTTTTACACGCTTAAATCAATGGGTATTCGACCTAATTAATTAGCTTACGAAAATCTTACCCAAATTCAACCCAAATCAATGGTATTCGACCTAAAGTCGACACGCTTAAAGTGAGTTTAACCCGTTGTTGACGAATTTTTGGTTGACAACAAATTTTACACGCTTAAATCAATGGGTATTCAACCTAATTCGAGCCACTTAGAGCGAGTTGAACTCGATGTTAATGAATTTTGGTTTGAGGACAAGATTTACATGCTTTTGTAATTGGCGGATCGGGTCAGTGTGACTTTATTAAAAACTCACCCTACTTCACTTTGCTAACATTTTACACTTTAATTATTTTGTTTTCTTTTTATAATTAAGAGAATTGAATCCGGTATTGACGAATTTTGGGTCGACAACAAGTTTTACATGCTTAAATTAATAGTATTATACCTAATTCAACCCGGTTAAAGCGAGTTGAACTCGATGTTAACAAATTTTGGGTCGAGAACCAGGCTTGCACTCTCTTGTGATTGACAGGTTTTGTCAGGGTGAATTTGTTCAGAACTCGCGCCACTTGCCTTTGCTGTAATTTTAAACTAATGATTTTGTTTTCTTTTCATTATTATTGTTGGCGCATTTTAAGTCGACAACGAGTTTTACATACTTAAATCAATGGTCATTCAACCTAATTCACCTTGTTAAAGCGGGTTGAACTCGGTGTTAACATATTTTTGGTTTCCTAACTAATTATTTTAATAACAATTGAACCCAAATGGTATTCGATCTAATTCGACCCAGGGTTGACAAATTTTGGGTTGAGAACGAGTTTTACACGAATGGCATTCTTGTGCTTTAGTGGTCGTTTGAAGGATTCTTTAAGAAAGTTAGGCTTGCTTCTTTGTTTTTCATTTTAGTTTTGTTATTTATTCACACACCCTAAAAATAAAACAATCAACCCGTTCAAAACGGGTTGAACCTGGTGTTGACGAGTTTGGTCATGACCGAATTTTACTCACATTGATTATTTAGTGGAAGTTTGAAGGATTATTTGGGTAAGACTTGCTTGTTCGTTTTTTCAGTTTTGTTAACTTATTTATTCGCACACCCGGAAAAAAAATTGACCCGATCAAAGCGAGTTTAACTTGGTGTTGAAGAGTTTTAGGTTGAAACTCGAAAGCGAGTTTTATCTTCTTTATTGTTTATTTTTCCTTTGCTTGCTTACTTCATTTCCTTTTTATTTCATTAATGTTGCCATGTTGTTATTATTTTATGCTATAAATTAACAACCAACTACAGCCTATCAATCCTCTTTTGGAAATAAATTAATATTTCCTTTGTGATACAGAAGCATTTATCAGGACCCCTACTCTGACTAAGAAGAAATTACTGTGGGGAACCACAACAGTTCTTTTTTAAATATAAGTCTTAGTGATGAAGGTAGACTAATTAGCAATTGAGATGTATTCGGTGGAAGGTAATAGCGTCTAATTTCTTATTGTTTCATTTCCTAAATAGTTTGCACAATGATCATTGATTGTGCTTGGTTTGTGAAATAGAATGAACATGAGTTTTGATTCCTAAAATACAAAGGAGCACCACCAGAATTAACAAAAATTGTATGGATCACCTTAATTATAAACAATTGTTATTTCAAATGTTTATTACTATCGGGATTGTTTGTGTTACAACTTGATCATATTACACTGGTACATTATCATTTGTTGAATGGTACCAGTTTTTCACTGTAATAGTTTTTTTTTTCGCATTAAGGGGAGGCCGACGCCGAGCAAGAGAAGGAGAGGTTACAGAGTGGAGAAAGTGGAAGGCTGAACAGCAACATGGCGCTCAAAAGTGGCGCCTCGGAAGTCATCCTGAAGAAGGGCCTCTAGACCGGGCGGTGGGCTAGCAAGCTCGTGCATACCGTAGGGATAGACGAGACTGTGCTTCGAGAGCCAGTCCGCGACTCTATTCCCTTCCCGGTATACATGAGTAATGTTAACCAACCAATCCCGACCCAGTTTCCTGCGGATGCTAGACAGAAGAGTAGCGTACGGGTGGAGATGGTCATCTCTGTTCTGAATGAGCTTTACGGCCA